GGGTGTGGCTATGGGGTGGAAGTTACAGGGACCACAGGGGGTGCCAGGCTGGCTGGGGCTGGGTTTTGGGGGGGTGGGAGCCTGGGAACAGAAGTATGGGACGGGGCTGGGGGTGGTGGGGCAGAACGGGGGTCTCACAGCCCCTCCTCCCCCTCCAGGTGTCCACACGCTGCTGCGGAAGCTGCAGTTCCTGCTGGAGCTGCCGGCGCGGCTGACGCGCTGCGTGGAGCTGGAGGCCTACGGCACAGCCGTGCGCTACCACGGGCGGGCACGGGCCGTGCTGCACCACTACCGCCACCTGCCCTCCTTCCACGGCATCCAGGCCGACTGCCAGGTCATCATGGCCGGCCTCGCCCAGCGCCTGCGCCAGAGGTTCAGGTAGCGTCCCCCTGCCCCTACCCCGAGCCATTTGCATGAGCTCCCAAGGCTGGGCCTGGCAGGGTGGACACAGCCTAGGCGCCCCATTCACTCTGAAACCTACAAATGACGCGCAGCGCTATCTAGGTAGGCCATTCACCCTGACACCTACCGATGACACGCGGTGACATCTGGGGTGTTTTTACTCTGAAACCTACAGCTGATGCACAATGTGATCTTGCCAGGTTCACTCTGAGGACTACCGACGACATCCGTGGTCTGGTAGGTCAGTCACTCCGAAACCCACTGATGACACGGTGTGATCTGAGCGAGTTGCTGACTCTGAAACCTATAGCTAGCGCACAGTGTGATCTTGGCAGGTTCCCTCTGAAAATGACTGACCCCACAAGACAGGATCTAGGCCAGGGGCGGGCAATTATTTAGGCAGAGGGCTGCTTACCCAGCTTTGGGAGGCTGTGGAGGGCTGCATGGATAGCCGTGCCCCTTGACAGGTGCCCTGCCCCCTGGTCACCATCTTGGGACCAATGTCTTGGGACCGATGTCCCAGGGCCACCACTGGTGGGGCCCAGAGCAGGACGCAGGCTGGCAGGGGTCTCTGGAGCCGGGCTAGGCTGCATTGGCAGGGAGAGGGGGGAGTTGGCCCAGCTCCATAGAGCTCCTGCTGGCTGGGACCCTGTCCCCCTGCCGCCCTGCTCTGGGCCCCGCTGGTGCTGGCCCTGGGGCACCAGTGCAGACCCCGTGCTCCCACTGGCTCCCCAACCGCTCTCACCCAGTGCCCCCCAGCCCCACGGTACAGGCAGGGGGCAGCGCACAGCCCCGACCCCCTGCTTGCCAGCAGGGAAGGAGCTGGTGCTGAGCATGGGGAAAAGTGCTCCTCGCCCACCCCATGGCCGGCGCTCCCTGCTGCAGCCACTCGCAGCCTACGCAGGACTGGAGCAGGCACAGGCAGCCCCAGGCGTGCTGCAAGCGGCTGCAGCGGGGCCCCAGCCACACCGCAAGCAAGGGGCGGCACTTCCCTGCGCTCAGGCCAGCTTGTAACCCAGCCTGCTGCCAGCCTGTTGTTGTTGGAGCCTGCTGGGCTTCCCCTGGGTCCTACTGCCCGTGGTTCCTGTCATTTTTTGACAGGAACCAAGGACAGAGAAATATTAATTTTCTATATTTTTTAGGGGCCCCGCGGGCCAGACAGAATGGCCTCGCGGGCCGTGTTTTGCCCACCCCTGATCTAGGCTGACCCCACAAGACAGGACTAGGCAAGTTATTCACTGAAAGCTACAGATGGTACGCAGAATTATCTCTGTGGGTTGTTCACTCTGAAACCTACTGAGGATGCACAGTGTGATGGAGGTGGTTGTTCCTTCTGGAACCTCCTGACGCCCTATGTGACTATGGTGGGTTGTTCACTCTAAAACCTACTGACAACACAAAGACATCGCAGGGGGCAGTTCACAGGGAAGCCTACCGATGACATGCAATGTAATTTCAGCTGGCTGTTCACCATGAAGCCTACTGGTGTCACATAATGTGATCTTGGTGGATTGTTAGCTCTGAAACCTAATGGTAACCCACGCGGTGTGATCTCAGTGGGACATTCACTCCAGAGCCTACTGATGGAGCTGAGGATGGCAACCCAAGTAAAAGACAACAAGAAATTGTTTTTTAGATATATTGGGAGTAAAAGGAAGGCCCAGGGAAGAATAGGACCCCTGCTAAATGGGCAGAAACAATTGGTGACAGACAGAGGGGACAAGGCTGAAATCCTCAACGAGTTCTTTGCCTCAGTGCTCCTAAGCGAGGGGCACAACAAGTCTCTCACTGGGGTTGTAGAGAGGCAGCAGCAAGGCGCCAGACTCCCATGCGTAGACCCTGAGATGGTGCAGAGTTATTTGGAAGAACTGGATGCCTGTAAGTCGGCAGGCCCGGATGAGCTCCATCCGAGGGTGCTGAAGGCACTGGCCGACATCATTGCAGAGCCACTGGCGGGAATATTTGAAAGCTCGTGGCGCACGGGCCAAGTCCCGGAGGACTGGAAAAGGGCCAACGTGGTCCCCATTTTCAAAAAGGGGAGGCAGGAGGACCCGGGCAACTATAGGCCAGTCAGTCTCACCTCCATCCTTGGCAAAGTCTTTGAAAAAATTATCAAGGCTCACATTTGTGAGAGCCCAGCAGGACAAATTATGCTGAGGGGAAACCAGCATGGGTTCGTGGCAGGCAGATCGTGCCTGACCAATCTAGTCTCTTTTTATGACCAGGTTACGAAACGCCTGGACACAGGAGGAGGGGTGGATGTCGTATACTTAGACTTCAGGAAGGCCTTCAATATGGTATCCCACCCCATACTGGTGAACAAGTTAAGAGGCTGTGACGTGGATGACTACACAGTCCGGTGGGTGGCGAACTGGCTGGAGGGTCGCACCCAGAGAGTCGTGGTGGATGGGTCGGTTTCGACCTGGAAGGGTGTGGGAAGTGGGGTCCCACAGGGTTCGGTCCTTGGACCGATACTCTTTAATGTCTTCATCAGTGACTTGGACGAGGGAGTGAAATGTACTCTGTCCAAGTTTGCACCCCCCTAAGGGTGAGGTGATCTTTTATACTTATTACAACAAGGCAAGACTTCATGGTTAACAAAAAAAGC